ATAAATACAATATAATCATACACATTTCAAACAAACTTATAACATTCTTTCATACACAATATATTCAACACCAAAATATACAAATCAAAACATAAAGTATAACTAATTATGGATATTACTATTCAACAGTATCAAAAAAACTTGAATACAAAAAAAATTATACACACTTCATACACATTTCATACACATTTTATATACACCGTGAATCATACAGTGAATCATATAAAATTCATACAGTGAATCATACACAATTCATACAGTTAATCATACACAATTCATACAGTTAATCATACACAATTCATACAGTGAATCATACATAAAAAATACATGTTTCAGCAATTGATATTGTAATATGAAGAGATCTGTAATTTCATACAATGAATCATACACAATTCATACATTATTTATTTACACAAAATTTATATTTTAACTATTTTATACCCGAATAACTGAAAATAAAAATAACAGAACATAAAAAAATTTTAAAAAATTAACTCTTACTAACCTTTGAACTTTTTTTGGGTTTAACTGTTTCTTTTTCTTCTTGTAAATGTGAAGTATCGACTTCAGATGCTCTTGCTTTTTTGAATTTTGATTTTATCAACTCTTCCACAAAATCAGATTCAGAATCTAATGATTCCTCGATTTCTTTTCCTTTCCTCTTATTTTCTCTTTCTTTCGTCCTTTTCTCATATTCATCTACATTTTTCTTTTCTTTCCCTTTTCTCTTCTTCTCGTTTTCCTTTGGATGTTTTTTTTTTCTATCGTTGATTTGAATGCAAATATTTGAGAATTCTTGAAGAAGACTGTTAAGAGAGGAATGATTTTCAGAAAAAATTTGGTGAAAATAAATTAGGCGTGCGAATTATGGTGAAAAATTTTGATAGGCGTGCAGAGGTAATGATTTTGAAAAAGAGTTGGGGAAGAAAAAAAATTTGGAGAATATAATTTTTTTAGATAAAGTTTTACATTTTTAAAAATAAAAATGTAACTGTTTTAGAAATAAAATCCCTATTATTTTGTGGTTATCTTAAAAAAGGTAACTATATAACATTTAATTTAAATTACATTAATTAAGAGTTTGTTTAAAAAAGGTAACTTAAAATAATAAATTTAATTAACTACATTGGTTTAAATAAGGTAATTGATTATTTAAATAAGTTAATTATTATTTTAAAAAATTAATGAGAATAATATATTATTTCTTGATATGCTATAACTTGATAATAATATGCTATAAGTAGTTTATTATTAAAAAGTTTGTTTATAACTTGATATTTAACATCTTAAATGTGTGTGTAGTGTTATTTTTATATTTGATATTTATTATTTGTATAATTTATAAAATTTATTTCTTCTGCCTCAATTTGTGACACTTTTTACTTTTCAAAAATCAAAACAGTTTAAGTTTGATTGAAAATTTGCTTGTGGAATCTTTAATTATTTTGAAATGAAATTTATATATTTGTGAACTAAGTAAAAAAGTATTATAAGTCACAATAATTGACAATTAAAAATAATTAAAAGATATATGAAAAAATTACAATCAAAGATAGGCTTGTTTAAATCTTGAAATCTGAAAAGTGCAATATAAATTGGGACGGAGGGAGTACCTAGTATCATCTCAAGGTTTTTTTTTTGTTTTGTTTTTCATTCGGTGTTAGGTATTAATATTGGAGCTCGACTAAATTTAAATTCACATAAAAAAAGTCCTATATTAAGGGCATGCTTTCTAACAAAGCCAATTCTATACCCGGATGGACTTGAACCCGAAACTCTAATTATGAATAAAGGATTAAACCCCAATTGTCTCACATTCATCTTCTTTTTCTTTTTTTGTAAAGAAAATATAGATATAAATAAATAATAAGCAGAACAACGAGTAAAAGAAAATTCACTATAAAATTTTACATCTTTTAATAATGCACTCGCCTTTTTGAAAAATTTGATTTGTCATTGGTTGATTTACGCAAATATTGATATTTTAGGTCACGATTTAGATTTTATTCATAATTTTAAAATTTGTGCAAATAATATGAGCCTTAAAAAATTACTCTCCTATAGACTAATGTTTGTTCATATGTTTTTAAGCTTTTCAAATTAAACATTCGATTCGAATAACTTACCAAATTCTAGATTCGTGTGATTTCGTAATGTTTCTTTTTTTGTATTTTCTAGATAGTTTGGAAAAAAAAAAGTTTGGTTATTTTAATTGCATATATTAGCAAAAGTTTATCTAGAGACAAAAAAAATTAGAAACATGGGTTTTATTTGCTCGATACAATTATAATAATTAAAAGAATAGGCTTTTATTAATTTTATTTGGTATTCAAGAACAATAAATAAAATAACTTCTTTATATGAATGAATTGAGTTATAATTTATTTTGCAATCTAAATTAATTTCAATTCATTTTAATTCGTCTAAATTTAATTCAACCAATTTATTTGATAATTTAATGACAGGCTTAATCTACCTAAATCGTCTAAATTGTCCATCATGTGACTGGCTATATAAGTTTTAGGTTGTGTTAAGGGTGCGTTTATCACTCTTAAAAATAATTTGGGGGGAGGGGGGGACTAGTACTTAAAAATAAATTGAAATTTATGATATAAAATAAGTGATAGGTATTTGAATAATTATAAATTATTTATTAACGCTAAAATAAATATTTTAAAATTAAATTATTATTTATTATAGAAATGTGTTAATTTTTTTATGACTAACTTAAAGGCAATTGAGTCATATAAACATGAAACATAGAAAATAATTTTTTCAAAAAATATTTAAAAAAAAATATTTTTCTTAGTACCAAACACACCCGTGATTTTTGT